ATAACTCAAGGGGGGATTACTGCTGAAACTTTTCTCCTAAGGCTTATCCCTCTTTCTAAACTACAATTAGGAGCAAATGATGCATATAGGTGGCAAATTTTGACACCACAGGACAACACAATTCCAAACTAACACGAAATTTGCAGGTTTTGGTTGACCGTTGCTTTTTAGAAATGACATAAGTTACTGAACACAAATATTTAATTAATAGGCAAGTTAGTATTATGCTTAATAACTCAATTTGGACATAATTAAAAACACAAATCACCAGTACAATACGAAGAAAATTACTCATTTTTCCATTTTTTAAAGGCTAAAAGTCATTTTTAGTCCCTGTAGTTTGGCACTTCAACCACTTTTGACCCTGTATTTTCAATTCCGTCAATTTTGACCTTGTAGTTTCGTATTTGTAACAATTCAAGGACAAGTTAGTATTCCTGTCAATTTCTTTGACAGTGCAAGGGGCAATTTCATCAACACAAAATCCTTGAGCATAAAAGCTCGTCTGAAACTCCCCTAATTTCATATTAGGGCTTGAAATTGGTTATTTGGGTTTTGGGTTTTTCAAAAATTGGGATTAGTGATTGAATTTCGAGCCCTAATATGAAATAGGGAGAATTTCATACAAGCTTTTACGCTCAAGGGTTTTTGGTTGACAAAATTGCCCCTTGCATCGTTAAAGATATTGACAAGAATACTAACATGTCCTGGAATTGCTACAAATACTAAACTACAATGGCAAAATTGACAAAATTGAAATTATAGGGTCAAAAGTGGTTGAAGTGTCAAACTATAGGAACCAAAAGTGACTTTTGGCCTTTTAAAAATAAATTAACACGTATTGGTCAACATGGGTTTAGTCCAATGAAAAATGGTCTTCACTCGCAAACTAGTGGTCTCAAGTTCGAACCCCCATAACTATGTGTTTGTGAGAAAACCCCCCCTTTCTCCTTCCTAACTTTGTAAGAAGCATTTAGCAGGGTCAAAAGTGGTTGAAGTGTCAAACTATAGGAACCAAAAGTGACTTTTGGCCTTTTTTAAATAAATTAACACGTATTGGTCAACATGGGTTTAGTCCAGTGAAAAATGGTCTTCACTCGCAAACCAGTGGTCTCAAGTTCGAACCCCCATAACTATGTGTTTGTGAGAAAACCCCCCCTTCTCCTTCCTAACTTTGTAAGAAGCATTTAGGAGTGCTTCTTGAAGAAGCACATAGTAGGTGCATCTCCAAAAAGCGCTTCTAAACTTTTCAGTTAAATATTGTCAAAAACACTTTTAGTTATTCTTGTTTAAAGGATCCAAGCCCCTTCCACTTGGACTAGATATTTCATTCATTCCAATATAAGCTTTTGTGGAATGAAATAAAATAAAACGCTAACCGATATAAACTTGCACGTGAGCGCCAAATAAATAGTTGATAGAATTAATATTAAGGGACAAAATAGTTTTGTTTTTTTTTAAAAAAAATTCTAAATAAATTTAGCTTGAACTTTTCCTGACAAATGTTATTATAAGACTATAAACCGGTAGTCGTCTTCCTTATTTTCCTGGAGGCTACCGGTCTTCTTTGATCACACTACTTTCTCACACCACCTAACCCCAACTTGTCGTTAATGATTAAAACAAATGAATACCATTATAAAAATCGAGTGCTATAAAACCCCATTTCAATTTTTCAGCTCTTCTGAATCTTTATAAGACTCAAAACGCCACCCTCTCCTCTACTGAGAAAAACAGAGGGAAAGAACGTTGGAGTCGCCATGTCTGAAATAGTCAACGAGGCTTGGAGAAAATATCTCATACAGCTTCAATCCCACCCTCTCAGAACTAAGGTTTGTTTCAGTTTTTGAATCATACCCAGTTTTTCTTACTCTGTCTTTGTAAAGATTTCAATTCAAAGATGAATACTTGGGCCTGTTTTTGAATATTTTGTTGCTTTTTGGTGTATAAGTCATTAAATTTTTTGGTTTGTTTGCTTTGAATTGATGGGTTACTAGGCAATTACATCTGGAGTTTTAGCTGGGTGTAGTGATGCAATAGCCCAGAAGATTTCTGGGATCAAGAAGCTTCAATTGAGAAGACTGCTTCTGATAATGGTATGCCTATTTTGTTCATGGTGTTTAAAATTATTGTTTCTTTAACAAATTGCTAAATGGGTTGGATTATATTCTCAATATTGGTCTGAACTTTATAAGAGATTATCAAAATTGGTTTGGCTGCAGATAAAATGGAGGACAGAATAAGGAACTATATGTGTTTCCTTGTTTCTTATGCAGTTTTGGTTTCCTAGAATAAATTCATCTTAGCAACCATGTAATGAATTGAAATTCAAAAAATTTACATTGGCCTTTTCTCTGATAGACTGGTATGCTTATCAGGTTATATATAATTGTGTTATGTCATGATCATGTATATCATGTTGGAATCTGAAGCTTAAATTCGTTTTCAGCTCTATGGGTTCGGGTATGGGGGACCATTTGGGCACTTCCTCCACAAATTGATGGATATAATATTCAAGGGAAAGAAGGACAACAAAACTATTGCAAAGAAGGTAATCATTTTTTGTGAAGTCGATTTTTGTGCTTTCCAACATATAATTCTCATGCTTTGTTCGTGCTAATTTGAGTTAAATAAATGCCAGAAGCCTGAATGCAATTTTTGAGTCAACTATTGATGAACGAAAATTTCAAATATCAGGTTTTGCTGGAACAATTAACTTCTTCCCCTTGGAACAACATGCTTTTCATGATGTACTATGGCTTGGTGGTTGAAGGTATGCACATATCTTTGGTATACTCTTAACTGATCTGTCTCTTATTCGATATCTGGTATCCATTAATTTTTGGTCTTTGGTTATAGTAGTATGATAGCTTGGTGACTTGATTGCTCTGTTGTTTTTTTCCTTTTATGTTTGTTCTTTCTTTGGTTCGCCAACGGGGGCAAGAGGATCTCTACTGTGTATACTATACTTTCAGTCAGTTAGTTGGATATATCAATTCACATTTTTCTGGTTTTAGAGCATTGTAAGCTGCAGGGTGTAGACCTCTGTCCTTTTAATTGTTGATGTTTTTGTGGTGTTATTGTGGTGGGCTTGAGTTTAAAAGGGGGAAAGTCTAAAGTTATAGTTCTTGCATAGTTTAGTTTATCATTTAGACAGAAATTTTGTTTTGTTTCTAAAGGTTATTAAACCACCAAACTTCCACAAGCCAGAGTCTAAAGTTATAGTTATTGCATAGTTTAGTTTATCATTTAGACAGAAATTTTGTTTTGTTTCTAAAGGTTATTAAACCACCAAACTTCCACAAGCCAGATTTACTTTAGAGAATCCTGCCTTGAAACCAAGCTCCAGTTTATCCATGTTTATGAGTTGTTTTCGTTCCCTTCCACACAGGATGGTGTGAACATATCAAACGTCAGTTTCGTTCTTAAGAGCAGAGCTGTGCAGCTTGCTTGAAACATCTAGAAAACAATGTGCATTTAGGCTTTCCAGTTCTGTAATATGTGTTATCTTGATAGAGTATGTTTGGAATCTGTGTTCAGGCCAAATAGACGCTGAAGAAATGATAATGAAATTTTGGTGCTGATGCTGAATTCATCTTAATCTGCATATTCTTTCTTGGTCTTTATGATTTTTATCCATATATCATATTAAATTCATGCCTTAATATGTTTTGATCTATCATCCAACAAATTACCTCTCTCCTGTCACTTGTTCCTCTGGCAATTTAATACTCTCAAGCATGACGTAAATTACATCTTCGGAAGCTTGACGATCTTGTTGCAATGCTCATGCGGTAGAACTGTGAATCAAGAATCATGATAGTAGACTTGTACTGATGCATTGCTTTTTAAACTTCGGCATTGCAGGAAGACCATGGAATTTAGTCAAGAGTAAAGTTCGAAAGGACTACCCTTCTATTCAATTGACAGCATGGAAGGTATAAAATATTTGCCATCTTTCGTTGTTTTATACTCAAGGCTATCCTTGAAACAAAGATTTGGAAATACTGACTTGATGATGGTTGCAGTTTTGGCCAATTGTTGGTTGGGTGAATTACCAGTATATGCCCCTGCAATTCCGGGTCTTGTTTCACAGCTTCGTTGCCTCGTGCTGGTACGCTGCTATATTTTTTCTTCTTTGTTGCCTCTTTAAAATAAGAAAAAAGGATAGTTGTACAAGGTTGCCGTATCCACATTGCATTAGTGCTTCTCAGATACTCTCCTGTACATATCTAATACAGTATTAGTATTACCTCGTATAGACTGTTAAGTTATGATTATAGCTAATGAATGATCATAGAGTTAATACTAACATGAAACCCTATATTATTTTTAAAATAAAAATAATATATATATAGCGTTTTGTGGCATATTTTTTACTTGTGTCATAAATATCTAATGCAATTTAGATCATTGTGCAACTAAACCTACTCACTCTTAACTTGCTTTTTCAGGGCAATCTTTCTCAATCTGAAGGCTAGATCGGGGGTAATCAAGCAGGCCTAGAACACCTAATTTTGTTCTTCCCTTTTTCTATGTTTGATTGGAGCTCTTACACTCATTTTGTGAAAATGGTTTCCTGATTAGTATCCTTTGTATAAGTTTCTAGCTGAATTAGTACTATGAAGCGGTCGATTTTCTTTCTTATTGCCAGTTCTATCATACGGTTGAATTATTGTAGGATATACTGAAATCTAGTTCAATTTGCAGAAGATCAACATTGTTTCAGTTGATTTTGTGACATCTTATTTTCTGACTGTTAGATTCCAAAATCTGCAACGCCATCTGATCAAATTTAGATTTACCTTGGAATGGCCAGAGCAAAAAAGAAATTGTGACAATGATTTTTAGAAGCTGGATTGAGCACCTTTCTTCAAATAACTAACAACTTTATTGTAAAGAAAGAAATTGCTAATGTATGTGCAGCTGAAAGCGCGTGCTGAGAGACTAGAGCACATGAGTTTGAGCGAGCAAACAACACGTTCCTGCATCATCCATGATTTGAACTGTTCAAACATCCATTCCTTGACTACTAAACCATGGATTACACTCCCCTGCCTCCACAGTTGAGGGAGGCTCAACTTTTCTCTGTCTGGTTATGACTTCATACACCACTTCAACAAAAAGCTTCATAGTTATTGCGAAGAAAAAAATGACCAAAATGTGACGAACAACAATGAAGTAAACGACCAAGGTTAATGATAGTTTATGGTCTTCATTGTTCTTCATAATCTTAATCAAACAAAATGCTCCCCATATAGCACTTGTGAAGCAAAAATACATGCAAATTCCCATAGCTTGAGGCATAGTCAAACATTCCTTCTCCTTGTCCATTTCCATAATATATCAGAGCCCACCTGATGATGTTCTTTTCACTTCTCCAATTCTTTGTGGTTACCTGAAAATATATGTGACATGAATTTTAAGCAGGGGAAAACAAATTAGGATTTTATAAATAACAATTTTTAATATGTACATATTTTTCTGGATTTTTCATTCAATTGTGGATTTTTGTAATTACCTTGTTAGCATTCATGACAAAATCCAAAACCCACAATCAGATATGTGGTCCAGTTAAAATGTTATATAACAAGATCATGAAAGTTATTAGATTCAAGTTAATAAATAACCAAAATTAAGATGTGTGCACTTATATGATTGTCGTGGTGAGTTTAAAGCTCTAGTGATAGAGATCATCATAAGAATTCGACTCTTGTCCTCCCACTCCTCGAATTTCCGAAAAAAGAACAAAGAAATTAAGCATATATCTTTGGAACAAAACCTCAAATAGTCTTAACAAGTAGCACCTTATAGTTAAAGAACTATAAGGAGGAGTGAAATATATTAAAACCCTCATAGACATATATCTAACAAGTCAAAATAGTTACAAACTCAAACAAAAAAGAGAATAAACAAATGAGACCCAGCTTTCAAAGTTTTGTTCAATCTTAAATCCAAGGACCTCCAAGTCCAAGAAGGTTGAGAAACTTACTTGTATACAGGTAGATCTAGTCAAAAGCAAACAGACCCCCTCTGTCAATTACTCTTTCAAACTGCGAAAATATATAGAATTCCAAACAAAACTTGAATTACAATTATATAAGATCGATGAGAGCCAAGATAAAACCAATATCTTGTTGATATGGGATTTTGGTGGGAAGTTTGGTTTGATGAATAAATGACTCAAAAGGCATTTGATTACATGGACTCCCACCTCAAATCATGGCCGTTCAATTTTTTTTCTTTTTTCTTTTTTCTTATTAGGGTTTCAATATGGGCTTTGAGCAAAGATTTAGGCCAGAATGTGGCTTTGTCAATGTTTCTTCACCTTTTTTCTTAAAAAAAATACATTCCATGTGAGAATACTTCTGCGGGGTGTGACGTTTTGCATATTGTAACCAAAAACTTTGACTCATTTAATACCAAATTTTAAGGCCTACCCCCTTTATAATTTTAATTCCATCAGTTCTTCTTCTTCACAAGTTCACAACCCTCAACAAAAAGAAAATTCTTAACAATTATTTTCATAGTTTTTATGCTAATATATCAAGAATTAGTTGTGTCTTCGAATAATTTGGATTTTTTTTTAAAGACCTTTCTTATTGAGAGAGGCGATAATATACTAAACTCACACACACTACACGGATGCTAGGACTCGAACCCAAGACAAGTCATGAGGGAGTAATTGCTCCAAACCAATATATTAGTAAGTCCTTTGCTCAAATCATTAGGATTAGATTACACTATTAATTCTCAAGTAAAACATGTGTACATAAATTAAGTTTATTTTAACAGAATCAGGGATAAAAATTAAAAATTGCAATTAATTATGACGCAATACTTAATAATTTTGTGTTGTTTGATTGAGTTCAATGTTAATTATGAATTGTTGACCCCATGAATAATTTTTGGCTACACACTACATCGTTTATTCCTTTTTGTTCTTTTTGAATGAATGGATGCCTCAGTGTTTATCGTTTAGCGTAAAGACAATTCAAATCAAAGAACTAGAGGGGGACACGCATGAATTGTTGACCATATATATCTCAGGATGGATCTGCTGGTTTTGGAAGTTTGTATAGCCAAGCCAATGAGATAATGTAGCTTTTCAGAAATAAAATCCAAGTGCAAACTCATTCATCCCTTCGTCGCCGACTCTCAATGAAGTCCTCCAAATCACTTTAATTTACGGAAAATAAGATCAAACTCGAGCGTGAATGGAACGAGTATTTTAGCGAACTGACTTAAATAGTAACTTGGATATTTTGTTTTCGGTGAAAGTTTGGCATTGAGATTCGAATTTAAGACAATTGATCTGTAAGCGAATCATCTTACCATTGAAATATAGACCTGTTGGCATTAACTTAGACCTTGTTTTGATAAGACAAGTTCATTTTATCAGGTACTATTGTTTTATCTTTCTGAAGTCTAAGTATGTGTGAGTGGCTAATATCTAAAGTGTTGTAGTACGAACTTTAGAAAAGACAGTAGAATAACTATACAACGTACAAAATACAAATCATGAGCTGCGGTCGACGTGATTGACGTGGCGGTGTAAATTAATAATGGAAAAAGAGTAAGGAGTTGGAGATAGCTGGTAGAAATTGATGACCGATGGTGGTGATCCTTTATTTGGAACTTCGATCAAAATCAAATGTAAAATCACCTAACTCATTTGAACTGCAATCTAACCAAAGCACCTAGCTTCAAGCCAGATCATGAGTGTAATGTATAGGGAAAAAAACGAGTATTATAGGCAGAGGCGGACCTATTAAGGCGCAAGGAGATGCAGTTGCACCTTCCCTCACCAGAAAAATCATTGTAGATGCTTCAAATTGCCCATTGGCTGAACTGGTGTAAAGATTACCTTACTTAAGTTTACAATATAAATAAGGAAGTATCCCCCATTTGGATTTAAATAAAAATACTAGAAAATCAAATTCCCACCAAATCAAAATATGAAAAATCGGTTTTAGTACAAAATACAATTTAGGCTAAAAATGATGGCTCATTAAGTCAATATATACTTCATACTAAAATCCCATAAAATCAAGTTTTCTTATTTGATGTGTAAGAAAAAGCCGCCAAAAATTATCTTGAGAAAATGATTATTCCCGAAAAACCATTTTTCATACTTAGTCAATATTGCACCTCTGCTAAAAAAATTATGGGTCCGCCAATGACTATAGGAGTGTGAATGGGCCGTTCGGTAACATTTTCGGAAAATATTTTCTTAGAATATTTTCAGAGAATGAAAATAAGAAAACGAATTTGCATTTTCAGGAAATGAAAATGCGTCTATTAGATTAATTAGAAAACATCTTCAGAAAACAAAAACAATGAAAACGTGTTTGGTAGTATAATTTTAAATAATAATATGTGAGTTATTTTTGTGAAAACGTTTCCCATGAGAATGAAAACAACTTTTTTCTGTTTTCTACAAGTACACATGAACTTGTTTTCATTTTATGAAAACATTCTCACCGAACGTGTTTTTGCCTCATTTTTGTTCTCTGAAAATGAAAACAATCCCTTAAAACATTACCGAACAGGCCCTAAGTATCTTAATCGGTACGTAAAATCAATGTTTATATTGTCAGATTCACAATATGATAATAAGCATCTTACACGTTTACAAACTATCTTGACCAAAACAAAAATACGTACTCTATATATACCACTAGTTATACTAGTATGTCAAAATGGAGAAAATTATTGCATAGAATTGTTGTATACAACTTTCCTCTCAAAAAAAAATTAATAACATCACCAACAAAGGAGGGGCTGAATATGAGAGAAGTGTTGTATACGGTACCAACAAGATGTTTTGTGGATGTAGGGTTCATTTATAGAAGTTGTGTCATAAATGACTTACTGTATTAAGACAGCTTAATGGGGAAACTTCCTCGAAACTTACACGCCAAAAAAAAGGTTGTGTATTGATGGAAGAAAGAAACCAATGAATTTTCGACAGGAAAACGTCAAGCACAAGGCTTGTTCAGACAAGAATTGCTCTAAAATTTTGGCACAACTCTCTCATTTAACTTCAAGAAGTGGGTTTCAAGACAAGACATTTTCCTTTTAGAGGAAGGTTTTGGTAACAATTCATCTCAATGTTTTTTTTTAAAAATTTCTTTTTTTAAGGTTTTGGGGGGCTTGTTTATGACAATACACGTAAAATCTAGGGTTGGGCATTTGCACGAAAAACTGGTCACACTGACTGAACCGAAACGACCACGCCAACTTATCTTCTTTTTCCTTCTTCTCCTCTTCTCCACCGCCGCTGCTCATGTCTCTCTCTCTCTCTCTCCAGATCTGCTCGGGCTTATCATCTAGTTGACTCTTGTCGTTTGGTCCATTCTGCTCTTTTTTCTCTTTATCTCCGCCACTAGTTTCATCTATCTCTATCTCGACTCGAATCTCATTTAAATCGACTGAATCGAGCTTTCTCGATGAACCAATCACAGTTGACAGAAACTTTGGACGGTTTGGCATTAGACTCCGGAAATGACTCACTTATGAGAGCAGTAGCTTCCATTATCGATTCCAGCCAAAAAAGGAGCCAAACCGCATCGACCCCAGCCCTAGTAAAATCACCTCACCTTTTTTTTGGGGGGGGGGGGCTAATTTGACCATTTGTACAATGTATTATGCCTCATATACTATAAATTATACTTAGCTTCTGTTGAGCATTGCATTTGGTACGTACCCACAGCTCATGGATCACGTTGTTGATTAGGAAAACTTAGTTTTAAAAATGTCGATTACTAGACTAATCAGAAAATTGGATACGAACAATAATTCATACCATAAAAGACTGAATATAATAAGGAACTAGATTCATAGACAACCTGGTACAAAATAATCCGTCCACTGCTTTAATTAGACAACAAAAATGCGAGTCATACCACATTGTGTACCACCTCTATTATACAATTACGATGACTAATTGTTGCATAATTCGAGGTCAAAAAAAGTTTACTGACATTTCCTTCTACGCATGTCCAACCCAGGACCTGAAAACCTTAAGTTATACCGGAAAGCCTACAAGCTACTATGTTAACGGCAGGAGCAACTGTAATAAATCTGAATAATCAGCCACCACAACAACCCAACAACTTACCCGATGCCCAAGTGTATTTGTATACATTATACATACGTACCCAGATCAAGCATGCATGCAACGATATATGCAAAACAAAGAACTCACAAACACAGATATATAATTGTCGAAGATCGACCTTAAATATATAGATTAAATAAGCTAATCGACAAGAACAACAGATTAAGCACCGGAAATTCAAATGGCTCCGATCTTCACACAGCAGACGTGCATTCTGTCATCTCTCTCTTAATTTCTTCTTCGTCTTCTTCTTCTTCATCCTCCTACAAATAAATACAACAAAACCCAAAACGCAGACATTATCGTCATCACAAACAGAAGAGAGAGAGAGAGAGAGAGCGAGAGAGAGAAATGGTTTTGATCTCACTCGCCACCTTCACACTCTCTCACACTCACTTACTCTCTCACTGTTCACGAAATCCTGCGCTTTGTTTTGAATCGGAAACTCAGCCGCTTCTTTTTACTATCAACTACTACACCAACTAGCTGACGTGGACCAAAACCATCCAGCCAATCACCAAGCGCCACGTCCCCAACTTACGCAACAACACAAAGGCCCGTTATATATAATCCCCGTTGTCACATCTGAATCCACTTCGCCAGTTGCGTCGGGTTCACAATCCCCGGAATGTGGGCCCCATCCGTCTTCAACATGCTCGCCACCTCAGCGTAACTCTCCTGCGCCGCACCCACACCCGAACCTGAGCCCGCCCCGACTTTCCCGGCTTCGACCGACTTCCCCCTCCTCGGCTCGGCTGACGAGCTCATCAGCGGCACCGCCTCGGCTCGAGCCGGGTCGAACTTCTGACCGAACAGCGTGCCCTTCGTTAAATACTCGTACGCCATGTAGCCCGCCAGCAGCCGATTCGACGACAAAGTCGGAGCTGTCGTTTGGCTTGGGGTTGGAGCCTTTGGAGCCGGCTGTTTAAAGCCGTTGGACGAGGCATTGGCTTGTCTCTCCTTTCGCTTTCTGGATGCGCCAGGTGGCACGATCCTACGGCTATGGCTTTGTTGGAAACTCATCTTTAAGTTTTGAAAGATGTGATTTTAAAACTCCATGCCACGTCAGCGAACGAACCTCGAAATGGAAAAAAGCCAGAGTGGGCAAAACCGTCAAGTGGGGATTCGTTGCCGGGGGACAAATGCGTCAAATCAGGTACCGGAGGACTCTTTTTTAAAACGCCAGAAGTGGGGATTTGTAGAGTCAGAAATGTAATTTCACAAAGAAAACAAAGAAGAAGAAAAATGCCTTTTTAGAGAAACAAAAGGAAATTTGAAAAAGAAAAATAATTATTTGTGAATTGGAAGGAGATGGGGTGGGGATTGGGGGTTAGGTTAGAGGCTTAGATTCGATAGATGACATCGGATCCAGGTAGCTGTGGCCCGAACCGATTGGGATGATGATGTATCGGACTGTACGGACGGCGAAGAGAGAAGTGGGGCCACCGGAATCTGGCGGAGTATGGGGAGATACAGAGGTTGAGATTGTAGAGAGAGAGCGAGAGAGGAGAAGAGGAGGAAGAAAGAAGATTGGGGATTAAATAGAAGAGAGAGAGGGGGAGACTGACTGAAGCGGCGTGGTTCATGAATTTATATGTGGTTTGGTTTTACATATGCCCCGCAGTTTTGAGGGAATGACATAAATGCCATTGGTATTGTCAAATGACTCAACTGCCCTTTTGTTGTGAAATACTACCCAGCTATGTTTTTTTTTTTTTTTTTTTTTAAATGAAAAAAAGTTTTAGGGAGAAGGGAGGCTACCCATCCCATGATCAAGGTTTACTAAAGTCTTTTTGAGGACTTACAGAGGGGATCTCAGCACATTTTTGGGTTTTTATAGATTATCTATCAAGAGGGATTGTCAGCAATCGGAAACTTATATTTGAATAGCGAAGAGAACGATTCTTACCAACTCAACTAACCCTCGTTGGCTACCATCTATGTTTTATATTATCAAAAAATTAAGTGATATTACATATAAATCCATGGAACGCAGTCATATAGACCATCAGGTTTGGTCATGGTGGCTGCACAATCACATAGGCGGCGGCCCGGCATAGATAAAATACTTTATTTTTCCATGCCAAAAGAAATTGTGTCAAAGTTATTTTAAAATCTAGAGAGATGCTTAAGTGATATTACATATAAAACCATGGAACGCAGTCATATAGACCATCGGGTTTGGTCATGGTGGCTGCACAATCACATAGGGAGCGGCCCGGCATAGATAAAATACTTTATTTTTCCATGCCAAAAGAAATTGTGTCAAAGTTATTTTAAAATCTAGAGAGATGCATTGAATAACTTCTTACCATGATTTTCCACACGAAGATTTGATTATGTGGATCGATGTTTTTATAGTGTTGTAACTTGTACATTTGATGTATATAATGATAATGAGAATTGTTTAGGAGAGTTGTCTAACAATGTAGCAACCAAATAAACATACGGGTGACTATGATTAGCACCATTTAGAACTAATTAATTCGTAACTAATGTATTCAACATAATATAGTAAAATATCCCCATAAAATATGTAAAACAAAAATACTCATAACTCCACACCAAAGTATTTCATAGAAAAAATATATATTGTAACCGAAAGAAAAGATTTCGAAGAAAAACCAAAAATTCGTATAAAAATTCCAAATAAATATAACGATGTAAATGCTACTCTAGTCTTCGTCATCTTCATCATTATAACGACGTAAATGCTACTCTAGTCTTTGTCTTCTCCAAAAAATGCCACAATTTTCTCAAGTTCATTAAGTGAGAAATTCATAAAATGCATCTCCTCCAATATCTCACTTCTAACATTCAAGTCATTTTTTGACCCCAAAAAAAAAAAAAATCAAGTCATTCTTAGAAATTGCATGGACCAAAAATAGTTTTCCAACATCAGGGATTTTTTTTTTCTCTACATCGCATCAAGATCTTTTAGGATAAAATTAATCACAAGACTTTAGATGATAGAACTAACACCTCATCACATAAAGTTGTTAAATTAGAGACAATTAATTGAGCACACATAGGTTGATTAAGGCGGTGTCAACTCAGGTACACAAAAGCAATTAATGAGTCGCCAACAAGTGATATGAGAGCCAATAATTTGGAAAATATCCCACATCGGAAAATATTGTCTTTTCCAAACAATTTGGCATGCCATCTTAACAGCTCGATAATTTGAATATTTGATTTTATGAATTCAAGTTCAAATATATTATTTAGATTATAATTAGCAACTTTAAGTACCTTGAAAGCTTACCATCTCAAACATAAAACAAAAGAATATTAGTCGAATGGAATTTCGATTTTGTTGTTGTTAAGTTTTTGTTTTTTTTCTCTTGCCAGAATCTTTTAAAGTAATGTTCTTTTTGGGTTGGTAAGTAAGTTCTTTATAAAAATAAAAATAAAAAAGAAGAAGTGTAAAGCTATAAAGAATAGTCAAAACTTTTTTTTTTCTGAGAAAAAAATAGCTCCTAAAAAAAACCTTTAAAAAAAACAAAAACCACTATTGCCCAAAGGGCCTTGAGCTTATCTATGTTTGAGGTTGCCCGACAAGGACGTTAAGGGTCAAACGGGGGTCCATATTTCTGTGTCTCTTTCATTAGTATTTGCATCAACTAAATTGGAGGTATTGACAAATAAATGGTGATGATGATATATATTTATGATGAACGTAGTATTTAATTATGATTAACACTATTATATTATTGTGATTGTATTGCCCTGTCGTAAAAGTACTTGGCAAATATCATATCGTTTGTAAAATAATAATAAAATCCAATATACCCTTCAACACACACATTTTGAGAAATTAATATAAGATATGTTCCGTTAATAGGGTCTAACCCTGTTAATAAAAGAGCCTTAACTTACAGACCAGAATATTAATAATGATACAACTAGAAAAAAAAGAGATTAATATCCCGTAGAAAAAACTGATATGCATTGCGACCTTTCACACCTACTCCGATAAAGGAAAAATAATGGCATATATGGTGGCCAACACCAAATTTGCATGATTCACCAACCAAACTAATATGGCAGTAGTAGGAGTCTCAGTTCTCTTGGTCTTCATAGACCAAAGATTTTGATGGTCAGCTATTGTTATATATATATTGTCAAACGAGTGAGCTATTGTTGAGTTAGAATTCGATAAATGATTTAAGTTTGGTTCATACCTCAATATATCACTTTATATTTTGGAATTAATGTCAAATTATCACTTGACTTTGATACAACAATTAGTCACCCATAGATCAGAACTATTGTAGATATAAAATAATGGGGATTTTTGTAGAAATGTCACTTAAACTTATACATCATTTTCAATTTGTCACTTTAAAGAAAAATTTAAGAGAAATATCACCTTAATTTTTCAAAATCCATGATTTGTCTTCTGACTTTAATACCATCCAATTTTCCATAAAATTTTAAGGGTATTTTAGTCTTTCAATTTTCAATGGTATTTTAAAAATAGAAAAATCATTATATAAAAAATTGTATATCTTTTAAACCATAAAAAAAAAAACTGTATAAACAAAATCTCACCTTCCCTCATCCCTTGTGCCCAACCAACCCGCCCGCCTTGAAATCCATTCCCCTTTCCCTCTTCACTTCCCTTTCTTCCATTCCCCCTTCCCTCCTCCCTTTCCTCCTTCTCTCTCTACCATGGAACACCTACCCTCCACACACAAATTCCCTCAACCCACCCAAACCGATTACAACTTTTTCTTCTTCTTTTTTCTTTTTGGTATTTTTCCAATTGCATATTGAAAATTTGTGGGAGGATAGCTACCAAACCAACAATTCGATAGCCTACATAACAAATGGTAACCAAGCAAACTTTAGATCCTTCAACAGAAACACAATGGCGTAAGTTAATAAAGCTATGAAGACAAGAAAGGGGTTGGATTTTGGGTAAGCAGTAGTTTTAAATTAGGTATCTGAAAATTTCAGACATGCTCACTAAACACCATAAAAAAATTTATACATGCTTAGAGAGAGAGAGAGAGAAGAATGGGGGAGGGGGTCCTATGCGATGTGTTTTGGGGATGGGTGTGGTTGGGGTGGGGCAGAAAGGGAGTGGGGTCTCTTTTTTCTCCTTTTTTTCCCCTTGAAAATGGAAAGCCTAAATTACCCTTAAAAATGGATGGAAAATTGGATGGTGTTAAAGTCATATGACAAATAATGGATTTTGAAAAATTAAGATGACATTTCTCTTAAATTTTTCTTTAAGGTGACAAATTGAAACTTAGGTATATGTTCAAGTGACATTTCTACAAAAATATTACTCTTATTAAAAAAAAAACCAACTTAATAAGTGATTTTGGGGGCTTCAAATATCTTTTTAGATCGTTTGAGCTTTTATTAGCTCTAAATATTTTAACAACTATTGCATTTCAAGAACTAAATATCAGTCCAATGATTCCTCATGACATTAAACGAGAAACATGATTTTGTAAATAAATCAAAAACACGATTTTTGTTTATGTAAGCGATAATCTAAATTATAAGGGGAGAGATGAGGGTTTCTCACACACACTACCAAGGTGTCATGGGGGTTCGAACTTGAGACCATTGATCAGCAAGCCAAGACCCTTTTCCACTAGGTTAGAACCCATTGGTATCAAAAACATGATTTTAAGAAAGCAAACAAACGTATTATCTAGAAGTTGGACGGATTCAGGATTTCAAAATCGATTGAGTTGGATTTACCTTACAAAGAAACTCGACGACACGAGTGAATATCATTGATTAGTATGGAGGGGGGAGGGGGTAAGTTCACCCTATAAGGCTTCAGTCACTAATTATTAATTCATTATCGATATTATCGGGAAATTTCCTTAAATGAAAATGCACATAGAATAAGAAGAGTTAACACCAAACTCTTATTCATGATTTATAAATAAAAAAAAAAGAAGAAAAAAATCCATAATCTTAACAAAATCCCTAGTAATAACTAAGCGAAGAAAATTACCTCAACAAACAGAAAGAGAGGAAAGTTTTGCTATGTTTCTCACATGCTTGCTTACTCAAGTGTGCTTTCGAGTTGTATTTTAGGTATTGGGTGAGTAAGTTGGTTTCAAATCTGGGATGGTCTATATGGCTATTTGAATACATGGTTTTTCTTTTTTTTGTGTCAAGACTACATGATTTTTAATAATGAAAAATAATTTCGTATGGGATGTAGCCCATATAGCCTTTTACACGCATCGGTCCTTGTCTAGGACCAAACATTCTGACCCAAAAAAAAACAAAAGACATGGACTAAACATGTGAAATGTTAAATTACACGTTACACGTTAAACATGTTATTGAATTGATTCAGTGTTAGTCCAAGTTCTAGGAGAAAAACTTTCATGAAATATGGATAGCATTATTCTGTTATTCCTGACTAATAATATTATGATATATGTATGATAACATTTTTACGTGATTTTTCATTATTTGCCAAAAATAGCAAAATAGTGTTATTTCCGTTGCAACTAAATTTTTATCGAGTTGTAGCCCTAAAAATAACCATTTCACATCAGATCAAATCCATGAAAGTTAAGATAAAATAATTAAAATTGGTGGAATTAGGTTGAATCAGTCAACTTGATCGATTGATTTTGGTAAGAATTTCGAGCGCTCTTGGAACAAAGCAGTATTCCATGTGATTATAACTTTGAAATCACATAACAAAAAACGGCAGCCTCTAAAAAAATAAAATTAAAGCAAATAAGGGGATAAAATACATACCAAGAGAAAGTACTGAAAGGTATGAAACAAAGCATTTTTTCTTTTAGTCTTTGTTATTTTAGTTTTGGAATAATCAATTCCTTGCGTTGCGGTGGATTTGGCCACTATACTTTGTTTTATTATTGTAATTTTCCGGGGGGGACCTTCCCCTAAAGTGTCATTAGGGGACAAGACCCGATGTTACTTGGTTGAATGTTCTTCAATTATTACCATATAAAGGAAGCCGTTGTGTTAGATTGTGACTTTTATTTGATTAAATAAAAAAAAAATCCAAGTACCAAGGTTAGAGTGAAATTAATCCAAATACCAAAAATAAATATAATATTATTATTAATCGTGGATTGCTTTCTTCTTTACACAAACCCCCAACGGCTAAAATTTCTCCCTTTTTGTATTTGGTTTTGGCATGGAATAACCAAACCTTATAAATTGGTTTTGGAATTTTCTCAAACAAAGTAATGTTGGATCGAACTTATCTTAATCCGTGTCTAAATCTTATTTATTTCTAATAAATAAGATATTGTCATTTCTAACAAATAAGAGGTTGTCATGTTATCCACCGCATTATTGATTAGGATCTCAAATAATGGTAGTAGTATAGAAACCGAAACAAATCTTAAAAATTTAGGATCTCAAATAATAAGATACTTTAAGATACTTTAAGCCACCTTCTACATCATTTGATGCCTAAACTTTGAAAAAAAAATTCGGTAAAATAAGGTTTCTATCAGCATTTGTGATTATAGACGATTACATTCTAACACATATATATCTTCTCTCCAAACATGACATCTATATCAGATTGTATATTCGACACATCACATGCTTCTGTAATATTTTTAAATTTTATAATGGAGGATTTAAATTTAAAATCTCTTCTAACATATAATGAGAATTATGACTAGATCAGCATATGCTATGAGTATATATAAGAAGAAAACTACAGCTGATTACAGTCACTGTCACGTTTGGCGTGCGTGTTGTGGCGAATATAGAAAGAAAGAGCCCTCATGCTGCCAAATCAAAGGAGACTTGCCAAATTTTTAACAAACTTTGTCTCTCAACTCAACACGTACTATGTTCTTAGCATATGAGAACATTTTACCAGAAAAACGAAAGGGTGAGCAAGGACGAGCCCAAACAAGCAATTTCAAGACAAAGCCCAACGGATTGCAAGGCTTACCAAAAAGAAGCTCAGCAAGGAGTACAAGCCCATAGCCGACTCCAAGGAAACCCGACTAAAAATGATTCCGACAGTGTTTGACAGAAAAACTTAAAATGTTTATGGAGACGCAAATGTTTCTTGAGGAAGCACTTTCAATCAAGTGCCTTTATAGGGAGCATTTGGATTTTAAATAAAAATTTATGCGTTTTCAATAAAAGCACTTATGAAGTGCTTACTCTTTTTGCTAATCATCTGGGTTATTCTTTCAACCATTGCTTTTTCAGCTACGTTTGGTAGTTTTGACAAAGGAAGAACTGAATCTTTTTGCTTTCTTGTGCTGGAGATTTATAGGATGCCTGGATTTACCAAATGTCATCAATGGAATTATGGAGTACGACTTATGTTTTACTTTGTGGATTGAGGATGGGCCTTCCCTACTCTTGGCAATTAGGTATCAAATTCAGTTCCAAGCTATCAAAAAAAACCTATCATCTTCATCACTGGCTACATTCATAGTAGTAGTACTATAGCCACCAACTTCATACAGTGGTACCAACTCTATTTCCTAATACTATCCTCCTTAAAGCCAATGAGGTTTTGACATTTGTTAATGTTGCTATCCCCCGATTTTAAATTAATTATAAGAAAAGAAAAAGTATATATACTGGTTAATCATTAGTGCCTAATAACTTGTTTGATCAATGTGTTGATGTACACATTGATTTTAACTCAGAAATGAATTATATGCAAGTCTTAAAGTTGCATATAACCCTATACACAAATTAATGGGCTAGGAAAGTGATCCACCAAACCAAAGGGAGACTGGATCGAAAAAACTGGAGGCTTGATTAATTTCCCACTAAAAACTGTCGGTTTGCTTGACCTCTCTCCTCTTCACTATTCCCAGTACTAGCACCACTTGAAGGACGTCCTATCTCATTAATTGGACCGAATTATTCATGTGGTGCTAGTTTTACAACTGGATTTTACAACAGAATTTAATAAACATCAATTAATGGATTGGGGATGTGACACATCTATTGTTGGAAAAAGTCTATCTGACGCTTAAGTTAGTCGAGTGTTTAGGAGTAAAGTATACGAGAGAGTTGTGATATTTGGCGATAATACCCGAACGCTTAGGTTTTACCTTAGCTCGGTCCATAGGATATTTTACCTCAACAACACTATACACAAGTAGGACATGAACATTTCCTTCTCAAATGTTATCCATTTGTATTATAGATCAAGACTCCCTCGTCACCAAGAATCAAAGACGTGTGCTACCAGACCACCTGCTTCATAAAATTACTCTGCAATCAGTTATTAGAACAGCTGGAACTTTCAAAAAGATAGTCATTATTGTTAGTAAGATGAGAAGTATATCCCACCTCACTTCACACCGTCGACAGAGAAGATATAACGAGTCATTACAATAGTTTCAAAGGGACCAAAACACATTAATTCACGATCCAGCTTCTTTTTTCAGCTTTATTTCATGAGGCGAGACCTTTTATATATGAGAACAGAGTTGGATTGTATGACATTTTTCAATGCATACTTTGTTTGATGAGAATTTAAATGCGAGCAAGACAGGAAGAGCAAGTTTTCAACAGGCAATAAATTCTTCATCTACATAGCACATGGCACAGTTAGCAAAGAACCATTGAGACAATTGGTTAGTCGTTGGATCTGCAAAATAACATGTTTTTTTTTTTCAATTAATTTCTACAGAAATGTAGTGAAATGCATTTTTATGTACATCTTAAAATCATAGCTAAAGATCCAAAAATCTTGAAAGGTTTCTTTTCTCGTAAATCATTGACGAAGCATATATGAACATAATATAAATCGCTTCATCATCAAATCGAATAAATAGATTAACATAATATTTAACCTAGTTACTGTCATTGACGGAGCATATTTTCATTAAGTCTTCATCACTATGCCTGAAACTAAAATCTATATGCACCAAATTAATGTTTGCAATTTATATAATAGAAAATCACTCATCTTATTGTTCTCATTACGTGATATAACCCAAATTTTTTAAATTGATCTGAGGCAGATGAAAGTACTGTACCATACGTTCTACTATGGGATATACGCGCGTGGACCCGTGACGAGTGACCTTGATTTGCATTGAATGGTTCATACAAAATGTTCTCATGTATCATCTTGGTGGTCCTTGCAGTAGCAAAAACCTGCTGTAACTGGTAAATTTCCCCAGTGAATGTCCAATTTTTGATCTTTTTGCTATGTCCAAACCAATCTCGCTAATTAGCCGAAAATAACATAGTCATGAAATCAATATCTTCTTCCAGTTTGTAATGTGACAGGACGGAAGAACTTCCTGTCAAGCAAACAAAAGTAGCCATGTGGGCACAAGTGGGTGCATTTAGAGCTGCCCTAGCTACTATTTTCCTGCTTAGGGTTTTCGTCGGGTGAAACCACAGGTATAAGTTACAACCGTACCCGAGCTCATTTATAATTAAATGTAGCGACCAGTTAGTTGTTGAGACCGATTTAATGCAAAAGCAAAATGGACATATGCATGCTCCAGAATCCAGTATTTAAAAACCTCTATCATCTCTTGTAGCTCTCAGAATTTAGCTCAGCCTTGTAAAAGAATATTTTGAACATGGGAAGCGCTGCGAGGCTCGCTCTGTTTTCTTTGTTTTGCATTCAAATCCTTGCAGTGAGTGTAGTTGCAAGGAATGTAGTGAGTGTGGAGCATGATGAGGACGAAAAGAACTTAGCTTTTGGGAAGGGAGGGGGATTTGGTGGAGGAGGTGGGTTTGGCGGTGGAGGTGGAGGTGGTG